TCCTCTTCCACCAGCTCATCTGCCTTTACCTCCCTCTCGCAATGGCAACCTGCCCTCCCTCTTCCTCCGACCTGTGGATGATTTCAGCCCCACCACCCGTCATCACTTCCTGCCACCAAAGCCCTATGGTCAGAGAGCCTGGGATTGAGAGCTTGGTCTCAGAGATCATCTAGAACAGGGGGGTCAACTCCAGCCTCGGCCTGTTTTTGTAAATCCAGTTTTATTGGAACACAGCCAGGTCCCATCACTTACGTATTGCCTCTGTTTTCAAGCTACAGTGGCCGAGTTGGTAGTTGCAACCAAGACGCCATGGCCCACGAAGCCTATCATATTTATTACCTGGCCCTTGAAAAAAAAGTATTTGCCAATCCCCAATCTAGAGCAACATTTCTGAGGCTCAGGGAAGTCCCGTGACTTAGCTAGGGTCGCTAGCTGATGGGTGGCCAAGCCAGAGTTTGAGCCCAGGTCCCCTGACACCCTCTCCAGGTATACCCCAGACTTTAGGAGGAGAGAATATGGACTTGAATGTGTCCTCAGACTCCCGCCTCATTGCCAGCCCTTTTTTCTATAGGGAAGTCACAGGGGAGGCGGTTCTGCTCACAAAGCATCAAGGTGACTCAGAACTCATTCCCAAAAGCTTGGGTTGCAGACCTGGGGCTCCCTCCATGCAGGGAGTTCCTCAAAACCCCTGGGGGTGAAGCTGCTCTGGTCTTGCCTTGGGCCCCACCAGGGATGCCACGCCAGCCTGCCTGCCCCAGCTCCCATGGCCAGTCAATGCGTCCTGGTCTCAGTTTTGAGCTGGTGCACCCACGGCAAAGGCACGTCTTCTGCCTTCCCGAGTGGAGAGGGGGTGGCCCCTCAGACAGCAGACTCCAGGGAGCGTGACATTTGGATGTTCTGTAGCCACTGTCCTCAGCGACTTGCACATGAAATCAACTCTGCTTTACATACAGGAGGAAGTTTCCTTTTTTCCCTCACCTCCCCCCGCCGCCCTCTTAACTCCACTTGGCAATGCTTCCAAGAGCAGAGTCCAGGGGCCTGATCATGTCTTGTTTCTGCCACAGGGAATCCGTAAAAACATCTCAGGACACAGAGAGGAGGAGAAAGGAGGGAGAAGCTCCAAGGGCAGACCCCAGCACAGCTCCTCCCGCTGCCAGGAGGAAGAACCCTGGCCGGCCAGGCAGGAATTGAGAATCTACAGAGGCCCAGCGTCATGTGGCCACTGGGCGAAGGGAGGGGCATAGCTGAGTGCCAGGCACTTGGCAGGGTATCCCATTTAATCCCAACACCGTTCTCATGAGGCAGGGCTGCCGGCCCCTTTTCACAGATGAGAAGCTGAGGCTCAGATTGGACATGGTCACCCAGCTGGTGATCAGCAGATTTGGAATTCAACGCCAGGTCTGCCTCACCCCCAAATGTACCCTCTTTCCCGCCCTGGAGCTGCCACAGCCGGGCCCAGCTGGGGCCTGGGGATGAAATCCTTGGAAGGACTCATGAGAGCAGCGTTGGGCAGTCCTGGGAAACCTGTGTTGTCAAACAGGGCCTGGGGTGCAGGGAACTGAGATAACAACTCTGTCTCTGATCTTAGAACAAGGCAGGGAACTAGCCGTGCGGCCCACACACCAGGGCCACCCAGGGCCAGGGAGCGGCCCGCTGGATGCCAAGTCCTCTGAGCCCCTGAACCAGCCTCTTTGGATCCCCCACTGCCACTGTGGGTCTCTTCTAGGCCTTTACCCAGTCGAGTGGTCCCAGCTTCATTGAGAGGAGGGTGGCAGGGCAAGAGCCAGGCAGGAAGCTGATGTCTGGGTTCTGGGCAGAACCACAATTGCCCCAGGCTGGAAGCTTCCCCAGGGAGGGCATAAGTATCCCCATAGGGTTTCAGTCTTGGCACTATACTAGAGCTTAGAAAACGGGATAAGACAGCCTTGCAGACAGATGCATATCCCAGATCAGCAGTCCCCATGGGGCTGGTGGCAAAAAGAAAAAGCTCATTTTACAGACTGCTGACTCTGCAGTAAAGGCACAGTGGGCCTATACTGCATGTGGATGACTCTCCCTGAAAGAACGCGAAAGTAATTTCAGATCTCTGGTGGCCCCTACCAATCTTGTCTCAATTCCTTTCCTGCTTCTCTCCACTTATCTGTCCCCCTAGCCTAATTTCAAAGTGTAGGCTCAAATGACTTAATGTTACTAAGATTCATTCAAGCCATTAAACTAATTAGCATTAAGATAGTGAAACTTTATTCTTCCCAGTTTTATTTACATATTTTGAGAGGATCATGGAGAACAGGAATCATCTCAACCAAAGGAATGAATATTTAATGGTAAAATTTCAGCTATGTGATACCTGGGTGGGGAGATGTTTCAAGGCAGAGTAAAGCTGCCCAGACTCTATTCCTCCTTCATAATGGCACCTCCATTTCCTTTGGGGAAATTTTCTCTCCCCCATGATGCAAGCCAAGGGCTTATCTCCCATTAGGGATGCCAGATGTGACATACAGCCTCCTCTCCCACCCAAGTGGGGCAGGAGGTAGGCACAAGGCCCCAGCTGAGCCAGCTGGATGACAATGGTTGGTTGTCGTTCATCACAGAGACAGTGGCACGCTGACCCTGTAGACTGTGCCTTCTGTCCCGTCAAATGTCCCTTGGTTCCTGCCCGAGCCTCCCTTGGTCCTCCCATCTCCCACTGACTCTATAAGCCAACTTCTCCCAAAGCCTTCTAAGTAAATCAGTCGTTGCTGTTTGCAAAGAACATGGATTGCCAGCTGAACGCCACAGCTGCTCTACCCACGTAAGGCCATTGGTGGCTGGGGAAGAGGGCAGGCTGGCTCACTGTCCCTCCATCAGAGGCTGGAACATAGCACACCAACCTGATCACCACCAGAGACCAATGTTCCTAGTGCGTGTGCAGCCAGGAACAAGAGCCACTGGGGGGACCCAGGATTGGGAGAGAGAAGCATCTCATCTCCCAGGGGTGACAGGATGGGATCATGTGCAGCCCTGAAGGTCATGCTGACACAAGGAACATCCCTTCTCCTGGCAGTCTTCCCTCCTCCCTGCTGCTGTGCGCATACTCACACATGCCCTGAACACACACGAGCCCACACCCGCCAGCACACGTGCGCACACACACACTCGGCCAGCAGGCATTCCCCTAGTATTCTCTGAAGGAGAGTCTCTCCAAGAGAATATGGCAGGCCCAATGTCCGGGCAGAGCCTGGGTGGCAAACGGAGAAAAAGGATGGACTACAGTTGTCTTCCTTCTCTGCTGGGACCCAAGAGGCCAGGTCTCTGTCTTCACAATCACATACCTTAAAATAAAAACAGGAGTCCCAGCAGGAAGATACCACCAACCCTACATAAGACAAACTGTGCCGCCTCACAGGGCCACCCGGGCAGCCTTCTAACAAAAACATCCGCAAGATGTGATTTCAGGTTGTCTCCACCCCCCCATCCCCACAGCTACTTTCATTCTCTTCCAGTTTGGGACCAACGGGCATCGGTGCTGATTGGGAAGGGAGGGAGGCGATGACAGGTGAACGGCCCACAGGCTCAGCACAGCTGGGACCTCAGCCCCACCGTCTCCTAACAGAGCTCTATCACCCACACTGAGGACACACGACAGACACACGTGTGCACACGCTCTCCCAAGGCCCACCAGGAGCCCCAGGGAAGCAGCCACGAGGTTGGCACTGGGCCAAGAACAAAATAGGGGCAAAGGCACACCCAGAGTGAGGCAGAAGGGCAGACTGCTTCCTAGTACGTTTATTGGAGCCTCTGCTAAGCGTGATATAGATCAGGAACCCTCTTCCGCTGCCCAGTCAACCCGACTGGGGTGGGGACACAGGGAGCCAACCTCCTTCGTTTCCCATCATAGACAACATTATTAAAAAAAATAAACTTTACAGTAATACATTTTCAATCATCTGTTAGGGTATTGTTTCATTAGTTTTGTTCCTTAAAAAAAGGAAAGGAGGGGGAACCACACGATATATGTATACGGATGTGTATATACATATATGTTGAGAAAGGAGCCGTGTTATGTACATACAGTGTGCGTACGTCTCGGAAATGAGGAAAGAGAAGAGCGAGGCAGAGAGAAAAGAGTTGGAGAGAGCCGCGGAGACCAGGGTGTGGTGCACGGGTAGACGGGCCCCGGTGGTCTTCTCTGCCCCTCTCAGCGCCAGTCCCTCCCTCCCAAGGGAGAACCACCAAATGGACCCAAGAGAAACCAAGGGAGTGGACAAAAAATCATTTCTCTTTGATTTCAAAACTCCTGCCACCAAGCAGGAAGAATCAGCCTTGAGGTGGTATCCCAGTTTTGCTCCCAACCCCCAACGGGATATCCCAGGCAGGCTGGGCTCCCAAGCCCCCTGGAACTGCCCAGCCTCCCACCCTGTGCTACGGTGGAGGTCAGGGGGGCTCAGCACCACAACCCTCACAGGTCAGATCCAGCCCTCAGAGAAGGGAGGCGAAATAACCTCCATCCTTGAAGCCAACTGGAGGTGCTGATGGTACCCAGCTGGACCCCAAGGGGGCAGCCTCGCTTCTCTGCTGCCCGACGTCTCCCGCCAGCCCCGGGCAGGTCCCCAGAGTGGGGAGCTTGAGAAGAGCGGCAGCCATCCTGCCCCAGCCCATGTCCCTTAGGCAATGGGGATGTCATCCTGTTCTCTCATGTCAGCAGGGTCCAGAGAGGAAAACACCAGAAGAAAGTGAAGGGCATCTCTAGACCCTTGTGCCCTCCTCAGCACTGGGTTTCCCCTGCCAGGGGACCTCTGGGTCAGCTCTTAGGCTGCCCGCCTGCTTGTCTGTTTGGTTTAGAAAAACTTCTCCAGAGAAGAAACCTGGGAGGAGACAGGTTCAGAGACAAGGTGGGAAAAGACTTTTTTTTTTTTTTTTTTTTTT